GCAGCAGCAAGGAGCGGCTCCCGGGGTCGTGACTCCCGCGCCTGTGGAAATTAGCCTCACCCAAGACAATTTCCCCCCACTTTCCAATCTGCCCGCCCCTGGTGCGTTGGGGGAGGCCGGAGGAAACGAGAAAGCAAGGGGGGAGGGGCTTGGCAAAGAGGATAAGCTTCCGCACGCTGCCCCTCGACCCGTTGCCTCGCACATGCCGACGGTGGGTGGGGACAGGGCTGTCTCTCACGCCAATCCAAGCACGCTCCCTACACGTCCCTCTCCCATGGTCGAGAAGAACGACGGGAGTGCCGGTCTGCCTCGTGCCAAGGGAGGCTCCGATGTCGCGCCGATGGTCCCTGCGAATGTGCTGGAATCCCTCCAGGATAAGGAAGGAGGCTTAGGAAAAAAGGCAGGAGAATCAGACACGAAACCAGGGGACCCGGCGTGTGCAGCCAAGGACGCTTCGCTGCCGCCTCCGACGTTGACCGGCTCTCTGGTTGAGAAGCCCCCAACTTCTACCTCTACCTCCACCACATCCTCCTCCTCCTCCTCCCCGACATCCTCCACCGCTACCAGCACCAGCACCAACACCTCGACCCCTGCCCTGTCCACCTCCTCCGCCCCTCCCTCGGTGCCTTCCTCTGCCACCACACCCACCGCCCCTCCACCGGCACCGAAAGGACCGTGGGCCGCAGCCGTTCTACGCGGGGCCATGCACATCGACCCGTCGGTTCCTGTGCGCCTGCCCTTGCGAACCGCGGCGCCTGCGTCCCCCTCGGCAGCGGCTAGTGGGGGCAGTGCTTCCACGGCCGCCAGCAGCCGCGCCAGCAACAACGACAGTGCGACCGGCGCCGGGTCGAACGTCTCGGTGGGAGGGGAGGGAGGGCCACCTTCGTCAATGTCTACGGCCATCGGGGAGGAAAATCGCAGTGCGGCATCGGTGGGACGGAAGAAAATGGAAGGGAGTGGGCCTGAAAGGGTAAGTGGAGGCGGAGAAGCAAGGGTGGGGAGAAGGGGCGGGCGCAAGAGAGGCTGGCCTAATGATGTCTTTGTTTTAATTTGTTATTCAATGCCTTTTCCACGGCGATTGGTGCATTTATTCGTATTTGTACTGTCTGAAGCCAGCTTTTGCCCTCTTCCGTCACTGCCTTGCTCGTTTCTCGTGTGAAGTCTTGGACGCCATAATTCATGCCCTCGTTCCTCTCCAATATTTCCCTGTCCTGGCGTGCTTCATTCCTTGGTTCTTCGTACCACAGCTCGGCAGCAACAAACCTACTTCCGTTGAGGCCTTGGCCGAAAGCAGTGGGAAAAATGCAGTGCCTCCGATCCCAGGGGGGACATCCCCGGCCGCCACCGCGTCCTCGTCCTCGTCCCCTTCTTCTGCCCCGGTCGCCAAGGGCCCATGGGGAAGAAAGAGCTTTGTGGAGGTCGTTAGGCTGACGGGAGGCGGGCAAGCCAGTGGAGGAGGAGACGGCGAAGAAGAGAAAAAGTGAATCCCGAACGCAGGGTTGGAAGTGGAATGGGACATTCACAGCGGCAGCAACGTCTGTACGACAAAAGACTTGGCGAGCCCAGTATGATGCTGATGCGACAACAGTGAGGAAACCGGGACGTCTGGCCGGTGTGGATGGGAAAGAGTTATTTTAAAGCCGTGGGTACATGGCAGTTTCCATGCGGGCGTGGCCGTTATTCGGCCGTTGAGGTGGAATGGGGACTCAGTTTGACTCCGGCACCGCCCCCGTACCATCTCCTTCCCTCGGCGCTTTGCGCACCGATTCCAGTACCGAGCCTGCAGGGCAATCTCTTTCATGCATGCATTGGTGCTTAGGTGGATACGGCGTTCCAGGAGCCTTGACACCCGATTTTGAGGGCTCTATTTCGCTTCGTAATTTAATGCTGGGAGGGACCGTTGAAAACGGTCAACAAATAGGAAGAGGAAACCGGGGAGGAAAGGGATTAGGCAGAAATGCATTGGTGTTTCTGGTCTGTATTTTTCACGAGAGATATGTTGGAAGGGTCCGAAACCAAAGGGTTGGAGCCCAAACATCAAGTTATGCCGCCGTTCACACCCATTCAAGCAATAGATTTTTGACGTTGCACGCTGCCATCCAGAGAAGCATAGGCTACACACGCGGAGGCGGACAAGGAGGATGAAAAAAGGTGTACAAGAGACGGGTGTTTCTGGCAACGGGTTGGAAGTTTAGCACAAGAGAAACAAAAATTTCTTCCTAGAAATGAATCCCTGTTGCAAGACAGCATTTTTCCTTTTGGTTGCCGTGGTAGCAATGGGTATTCGCTTTAGGAGTTTCAATGGTTGTGCGAATCTTCACGCTTTCGTTTCCAGATTTCGCTTTCGACGCGTTTGCATCCACTGCTTTGTCTATCTAATGTAGAATATACATTTCTTCGCGTCTCTAGTCCTTCGATCCCCCACGTCCCCCATTCTGAACCAGTGAGAGTCCAACCGGCTCTTGCACTAATAGGCGGAGTGCGTTTTTTCAATGAAGTCTCTTTAGTTTTGATTCTACCTGCTTTCAAATATGGAGCAGGTGCGATGTTTTTTGCATAACCTCACAACCTTAGCAAGAACGGGCACACGCAGTACTCAAGTAAAATCCATTCTGCATTTTTTCGCCGTCTATACTCCCCCTACCTGGGTATATACGTTCGCAAAAAAAGATAAAGGCAGCTTTTTTATACAGCTTCATATCTACGATCAGAGAAAAAAATCCTACGCTTCTCTTCGTTTCCCCCTCGATGATTCCTCACAAATGGAGATAATGACCACCTTGGGCACCTCATAAGACATTTTACGATCCCACATCTCCTCGTTACACACAATCACAGTACATTTCCGAGCAATGATGCGGTCGCCCAAACAGGAACAAATGAGTTACACCACGACATGCGAATACGGTTCAATTCTTCTCCTAGTAAAACAGTTATTGAATCATATCTCCATTTCTTTAACATACACTTCCAAAAATCGGTTCGAATACAGACAGATTCGAAAAAACCAAACGATACTTCCAGACACGACCAACGTGTATTCACACAAAATGAGGCGATATCAAACGAAGTCTGGGCATCCTCCTACCCACTTGAGCCGCGTTTCCTGTGGGACGAGCCCGACTTTGACCGTGTTTCCTATGGGACAAGCTCGACACTGCGCCTCACTTTGACGCTTGAGCAGTTTGCAGCGGCGGCTGCAGCTGTTGTTCAAATTCATCCATGTAAACGGTATCATGTCGCGGTTGCTGCAAGGGTGGCTGCCAGCAAAAATTACGCCGGCAGGCTTGTCGGGCGCTCTGAAAGGGGATATCGCCAGATACCGAGCCGTCAAATGCCATGTCCATCTGATCAAAGGAGGAATCTGCTTCCCCCGTGGTTGCTGGCGAGTAGAAGCCCTTGGAAGGCAAAGAGGGATGTAAGAGACCGCTCGGAATGTTCCGTTTCCCTTCAGTCAAGGCCGGTGTCTTCGACGCCAGCGCACGATTCACACCATCTTCACTACCGCAGCCGGGAATCAAGACCGTATTCCCAACCCTTTCTTCCCGTGATTCTCCCGGCCCTGATGCCAATGCCTCGTGCCGCTGGTCTGTTTGACCCTGCCAGCCTGGTCCCAGTCGTTTCCCACTGCTTCCCCAGGCTTTCCTCCGCATGGCTTCTTCCACCTCCTCCTTAAGCTGCAACAAGCGCTCCGAGGACCGGATGCGCCGCATTTGCACGTCCAACGCCTTTCCATCCCTCTTGTCCATGCCCAAGAGAGCGTGTTTGGAG